AAAACCCTTTTCCAACACTCCCCCCACCCGCAGCCAAGAGAACCGTCGCACTGGCATCCCAGTGGGTGCTGGTGGCTGCGCGCAGGACCTCATGCAAGATGACAAACGGCTCTGCCCTACCCACCCCGCCGGGCAGCTCGGCTCTCGCCCTGGCCACCCAACCCCTCCCACACCATGCCGGGATTTCTCACTGTGCCACCACTCCAGGAAAATGGCTTTTCTGATGACCTCGGAGTTGCCCACACCCACTGGTTTTATTTCAGATTATAAATTCTTCAGGGTAGAAACTGTGCTCCAGTTTCACCCAGGCATGCTCCCCAGGTCCTGAATAATCTGATCAGCAGCAGGAACGCACCAAGCCGAGCTCTTGGTCCTGTGCGCCTGGCACCCAGCGTCGGGCTGGCCCCGTCCCAGCCTGGTTGACAAAGGAGCCTTTGCCACATAACCGCAGAGAGCCGACGCTGGCACCGGCAGCGGGGGACGCTGCCAGCCATCACTCAGCAAACAGAGCCGAAACCCCGCAGCAAAGCAGACTGCCTTCTGCCCCAAGTGAAAAGGACGCAGTCCCGCAAGTGGAACTGCCTCCGCACCCTTGAGTTTCAAAAGGAGATTAGAGCCAAGCCTGGGAATCACCCGGGACGATGCCATGAAATGCCCGCCCTGGCGTCGGAACAAGGCACAAGAAAATCAGCCGTGGTGGGATCGCATCCCTCCCCGACCTCGGGCCCAAAAAATCTCTTTCCCATCCCCAGCTTCCCAGATGCTTCACTCCAAAGAGCCCAACCCGCTCCCCGTGCACCCGCAGCACGTCACCAGCCCCAGGGATGTCCATGGCCCCAGACCTGGGCAGCCAGCCAGGAGCTCATCCCAGGGAGACACAACACGTGTGTTATGGAGCCAGATAAAAGGCTGGGCCCACTCGAGGAGGGAAAGCTTTCCAGGACTTTGTGTCCCTGGGGACACAAGAAACACATCACCCCCGTTGCAAACCATCCTTCTCGTCTGACCAAAGGCTCATCCTCTTCCCAGTCATCATCTCCACTGCACAGGAAAAGGCGAGCTCATGGGAGAAAAAGATCTATTACTTAGAAAATTCCGTTGTCCAGAGCAAAACGTGACTTTGCTGCCTTGTGACTCCGTATCTCAAAGACGAACAGAGGAAGAAAGGCGGTGTGGGACGCGGCGCTATCGACCCACACAGCGCCGGAGACACAACTGCAGCACAAGGAAGAGCAGATGCCCAGGGAGACAAACAGCCCCCGGGCAGACAGCGGGAGCCGACCGTGCCAGCTGCTGGACACAGCACCTAAACCAAACCCAACCGGAGCGGTGGAGCAGAGTGCAGCAGCCAGCCCTGCGCCACTGCCCTCCCCTCCGGGCGGGAGCGCAGCGGCGGCCGGGGCTCCTGCTGCAGAGGCAGCCGGGCTGGGCTGGGATGGGCAGGAGGAACCAGAGATGCTCCAAACCAAGAGCTGTCACCGCACCCAGAGCTCCTTCCCACGGCCTCCAGTGTCCACCCTCACCTCGGATGGCTCTGGGCCCCGGCAGCTCCCAAGCCTGGCATGATGCTGAGCGGTGACTCAGCAGGCAGAGGCACCGTCCCCACCCAAAATCTCAGCACAATTCATTCCATTACTCACAGGAGCGATCCAGAAATAGCCCGTTACTAATCCGGAGCCAGGGTGCAAAGGTGAGCGGGGCAAGGAGGCTGTGAGCATGGCGTGCCTCGGTGCTCGTCTGTGCCACCCGGTCCGTGCCCGCCACACCACCACTAGATGCCGGCGGCACCCTGCTCAGGGAGGGGTTAGCAGCTCTGCTGGGGGATGCTCTGTCGCTCAGCAGGATGCGGCCAGGCCCTGGGACAGGACAGCCTGATGCGAAGGGCTTGGAGCTGCTCCCAGATCGCAAGCGGATAAAAGGGAGTGGAAAACATGAAGAAGTTTGAGCAGGACAGATTCACTGTAACTGACAGCAGGCCAAATGATTAAAAGGACACAGTTGCCCACATCAGACGCGGAAATTCAGATTTTAAACTCTGCTGAACTCTGTTAACCAGCCCGAGTTACAGCAAAGGCTGCCCAGCCACGCTGGTGTGCCAATCTGGCGCGTACAGCAGCCGCGGTTTTTGGGCATGAGCAGCACTTTGGGTGCCTCACCAGAGATGCCTCCTGCTCATTCACAGAGATAACAAAAGGGAGCAGCAGCTCTGTGCTGGCACCTCCCGCCGGCAAGAAATTGCAAAACGAAACCAAATCACTCTGCTCCGCTTTCCAAGCGGCCATCGCCATAAAACCTGCCAGAGCTCCAGGACAGCCCGTGTGTTATTGACTTCTCCCAGCTTTGTGCCTCAAAGTGTGAAGTTCCTGATGAGCAGGAAACGGGGAATTCCTCTGGCAGCAGGATGTGTCCGTCATCCAGCGTCTGCTACGGGATCTCAGGAAATGGCAGAAAAAGACCTTAATGCCTGGAAAAAGGAGTCGCGCTGGAGACAGATCTTTCAGCTCCAGCTCCCGGAGCCAACAGAGGGGTTTTGTTCCGAATCAGAAACTCCCAGGCGCTGCTGACGATGGCCCCACCCCGGCCAGACCTGTCACACCACCCACCAGCAGAAGGAACTGAACTTCTGTCCTGCCCGCAGCCCCGGCCGGAGGCACAACCTGTGCCTGGGCAGGGCTGGGCTGGCAGGGCTGGAGCCGTGCGGGGAGCAGCCCTTTCACAGGGACACCCCAGTGCTGCTGGCACGGCAGGGCCGGCACCCAGCCCCGCACATGTCCTGCTCTGAACAAAGCCTCCTCATCCAGGGGCACAGGAGAGTGGAGCAAGGAGGAGGGTCGAGCCTCGAGGCATCGCTCGTGCAGCCCACAGCATCGCCCCGGTAGCATCGCTCCGGTGATCTTCTTGGCCAGAGACGGAAGAACAGAGCAGAGGCTTGTGTTCCTGCCTTGCAGAGCTGCCACCAAGCATCTCCTTACAGGCTGCCTGGCAGATGATTAGAAAATACATGGAAAACCCTGCCCTTGAACAGACCGAGGTCTTCCTGGCATTGCTGTGTCTTTCAGCTCTGCTACACTTCTCAATGGTTTAACAAACAAAAGCATCCCAGTGCTCGGTTGGACTGTTTCGATTTAACTCCTGTTGGGAAGGAGCCGGGCTGACGCAGCGCAGGTTGGGCTCGAGGCCACAGCATCCGCGAGGCATTTCACCGGGTTTCCAAAACCCCAAAACACTCAGCCTTCAGCTCCGGCTGCGCAACCTGTAACGCAGACCAGACCTGAGGGAGCTCCCGGCATCCAGCGCGCACGGAACACCAGCAGGAACACACAAAATGTTTTCTAACCAGCGCAGCCAAGGACGAGCCGTCTCCGCTTCTAAACATGGCCGTGTGTGCACAGGGCCGCTGCCACCGTGCCAGGCGAGGGCCCCTCGGGACAGGGCGCCGGAGAGGCACCACCGGGCAAACAAGAGCCGCCTTGGACAGCCCCAGGCCACCACTGACACTGCCGGAGCCCCAGACACCAGGAACATGGAGAAGGAGTGCCTCCCTCCACACCCCCCCGGAGCAGCTCTCCTTCCGTCCCACCAGCAGGTCCCAGCTCTGACCAGCACACGCACGGAGCCCCAGCACGGCGTGTGCCGAGGTCACTGCTGTCCCCAGGTTAGAGCAGTTGGGAGGGGACTGCAGGTGTTGGGGGACAGAAGGACAGAGGGACACGGGCCACCTGCACGCGTTACCAGCAGAGAGCCCCACAGAGCTGCTTCTCCACCGACACGGCTGGAGCTGGTCGGACTTGCTGGCACAGCAGGTGCAATGGAAAGGAAAGTAAATTTCCAAATTACAACCTGACAAGTGTGCCCATTGAGGGGAACTTAATTGGCTGAGACATCTAAACCATGGCACAGGACAAGTGTCCTGGCAAGTGTCTCGGGCGTCAGAGGGACTCTCCTACAGAAGCACAAAAAAGTTGCAAAAAAGGGCTTGACACGAAGGGCAATGAATGCCAAAGGGAAACGCCACGGCCAGGGCAGAACCGGGGCTCGGAGCTGCCGGGCGGATGGCAGCTTCCAGCTGATGGAAGCGGCGCTGGTTTTGGCACAGCAGCATCTGCCATTTGCCGCTCCCACAGCCCCCGGGCAGGCCAAGCTGTGCACTTCTGTGCAGCACAGAGACCAGCCTCCCGCCCTCGCCCACCCCAACCACCACTGCTGACGCCCCGAGCACGACCCACACCCCCGCCGCCCCCCCTGCTCAGAGCCTCCTGGCCCCCCCGCCACCACCGCAGCTACCCGGCGCTGGGCACCATGGAAAGTATTTACCCCCAGAAAGCTGAAACTCTTTCTCAAGACCTGCCGTACCCAAATCACAAGCAATCATCAAAAAAAGAACTCAAACTCAGCGCTTATGCTTTAGATCTTACAAAGTTTTTTCTGAAGTTGTTCTTTTGGCACGAGCAGACAGCCGGGGTTACGGCACGCTCCAGTGCCACAGCGACGGGCAACGGCCGCGACCCAGACCCAGCGCGGAGCTGCCAGGCTGGCTTGTTTGCATTGCTGAATCCCACAAAAGCATCCACAAGCAAAACAGAGAAAGGGACTTGGAACAGAAGAATTTTAAAGCCTAAACAAAGCTTGAACCACAAGTGCCAGAGCTCTGTGGGAAAACGCTGCCTGCCCTCACCTCCCTTTCCAAAGGCCATCATGCCATGTTCTTATTTTGCCTCCCGCCGAAGTGCCAGCCTTCCCAGACTCCCAGCAGTACAAGTGTCTCGCTGAAAGCTTCAACTAACATGCCACAATCTCCGCAGACGCCTGTACGCGTGCAGCGCCCGACTGCCGCTGCCCAGGGCTGATCAATATTTGCTAATACATTCCTTACTTTTCATGTCAACACGCCTCTCCCATATAAACAGCGAGGAAGAAGGTGAGCCCGGTTAAACGCTGCCGATAACCTCTTGGAAGACAGTGACTTGGCTTGTTTTCCACTTAAAAAAAACATTTCCCTGGAGCTGACCGGAACATGGATTCACTGTAAGGTCCATAGAATCCCACACAGCTGCACCATTTGCAGCTGAGAAGGAGGAGCTGAACATAAACTGAAACTGTTTGGACACCAAGAGGCACATGGCAGAATGAAAATAAAACGCAACTGGTGTCCGTGAAATACCGACAGCCGAAGCCGCCA